ATTCCATAACGTATCGTGATACGTAATCCATCGTAATAGACTTGAATCTCTGGATCTTGTCTTGTTCCATCGTAGCATCTTTGAATCCATAGCATAATGTCTTCTTATAAACGTAGATGTTCCTGATGCTTGACACTTTGGCGTCCGGATTCAGGGATTTCCTTTGGGATCCAGGGATTATCTGTCGGGATTTGGGAATTAGTTACGGAATTCTGGAATATTTGGTCGGACTCTGGAATATAATGCTCCACACCGCTTGTAGCACATATCACCACTCCATCTGTTGTCCATCTCACCTTGGATTGACTTGGAGAAGAGCTAAGGATGGGCCTTAGAGTCTGGAAGCACTATGATGCTCAGTCCAGACTCGCCCTCGTCCTGACTACGGGTACTTATGATTGTGAATAGTGGTGAGGCAATATTACCATGCACGTCGCAGATCCGATGAATCGACGCTGGACTATCTGTATCGGCTGAACGTTGCCGGACTGTGTGCGCGACTCAAGACCCAGGATTGTAGTACGAAGGATCGGCGAGAAAATGTTGATCACTTCATTGAAACAGTGTAGGATCCGGATCTGGCGGATCGGCTAACGTTATTGAGACTATCAGATGCGGATGATCCGAAAGGAGTACTTCGCGCGCGGGACCGGGCCAAAAGCCGACAGAAGAAGGCTGCGTTCGGATTTGGCAAGTTCCAACATAAGGCGTCAAACGCTGCACCATAGGCCCTGCCAAACAAGTGCGAGCAATCCAGATCCAAGCTACTAACTCCGGGTCCGATACCGCCGACGGATCGGACGGACCCGACTCTGAGATGGACAGCCATCGCCGGATCTACCTCGATGCGAATGAAGTAGGTGTTCCGAAGGAGGAAAGCGAGACGATCATACCGGATCCGGGACACCAGGATCGAGGATCTTAGAATAATAATCACCAGGAGAACCGATCCAAGATCCAGGCTGACGGATTCATCCGTAACCGTTGTTCGCACTGCGGATCGAAGAAGCACTCGAATCTTGGTTGCTGAAGACGGTTGACTTGTACCAAGTGCTTCAAACGAGGTCATCCGGTAGATCATTGCCTTTTCGTGTGACGAGCTCCATGATATGGGCCAAAGTCCGGTGGAGGGGTTTTACAATCAGACCCGCCAATGGTTCAATCCAACTAAGCACATGAGTATGCTGCCTGAAGCTGCCGAGATAATGTTAGTCGAGGACGTTTGTCGAGGTGGAATCCAATACTGAGCTGAGCGTTCTAGATATTGCATCTACGCATTTGTGCATAAGCCATCAGTAGATCAACTTAGCGAGATCCACCCGATAATACACTTGATCTGCATGGGAATCATACCTTCGCGATATCCAATCTTCGCCAAGCCGATGAATTCGCCAGATCCGAATGACGGTGGATCTTCCTCCAGGAGAATCCAGGAGTTACTGCTAGAAGCAGGATCTGTGGTTCAAACCCGCGGATCAGAACACTACAGCCGAGCTCACGAAGCCTAGTCGGATCGCAGAGTATCGACGATCCGGATCCGAGTCGACTGTGAATCTCCTACCGGGGGAATCCCGTGGGTACTCGTAAAACCATGATCCTGGTAAGTGGTTACGTCAAGCCAAGAATGTCGATGTTTCATAGTGAGAAGGCGATCTTACTCCTAAATACTGGTGCCGAGGCGTCCATTGTGGACACCCACCACCTTTACTCGCAAGGTTGGACTAACATCGACTCGAGCCAGATCCAAGATTGTGTGGGGATCGGGGAAAATGTGTATCGAACGGAAGAAAGAAGGCGGATCAAGGTAATTCTCGCAGGAGCGCTGGTTTATTTCTTCGATATCGGTGGGGAATCTCTCTGACCAAGACGGTATCCTCGGCATGAACTCTATGATTCCAGTCGGGACCCGCTTGGATCTCGCTCACGGATCAATCTGTTTGCCCGAAGAAGTCCGGATCCAGCTTACTCGAAGGCGACTGCTTTACAGCAACGAAGCCAGGATCGTGGATCTGGGGCAACACCTGAGGATCCAACCGGGAGAATCAGTGGAGCTTCCATTACGTCTGAGGACCTCGGATCATGAGGAAATCTGGGTCACCCGTAGAGATCATTGGGTCCCCATGGTAGCCAACGGACCGGGGAAGATCATATACATGAGGATCACGAACGTCGGTGAGAAGGTGTTGATCCTCCATCAGGACCTGCGGATCGGGATCTGGCTGACCGGCGATCATGTCCCGCGACTACCGGGCTTCATCTCAGTGGAGCCCCGGCACTATATGGAGTGGCATAATCTGGCTCTGGAATGCGACCGTGGATCTTGGATCTGCACGGAAGATCTTCCTGGACCTGCGGTGGAGCGCCCCGAGTACGGAGCTCCGCGCGCAATACTACAGTGGCCACGACTGACACCGATCAGGTGTCTGAAGGCCGGATCAAGTGGAGATCAAGACATGCCTGACTACTAGCCTTCGGATGATCCGCTGTCGGACAAGTCGTCAACGGATTGTCAATCGTTAGATCTAGCACCTGTCGCAAGAGATGAATCAGATCTGTCTTCTAGCGCAGGCGACGACTCTATATCACATGTAACCGTCGTAGAGGCGTTGGACGATCGAGATCAAGACAAATCAGAAATCTCGGTGGGTGATCGGGCTGCAGTTGAAAGTTTTACCCTGAAATCCGCATTATGATTGGGACCAGCTATGCGGTCGCGTCGAGGATCTACTGGAGGCGTGCAACAGATTGAATTTGTCTATCAGCGTTGCCAAGTGTTTCTGGGGCATACCCAAGGTGAAATATCTCGGTCACAAGGCATCACACGATGGACTGGAGACAAATCCGAAAGATCTGTGGGCATTGGCGGATCTTGAGTTTCCCGGATCCTTGTGTGTCATGCAGTCCTGTTGGGCAGTTTGAACTATTATAGTCACTTCATCGAGAATTATGGGATTTATGCGTCTCTACTATACGAACTGAGAGAGATCGATTATGCTGAGATGGAGAAGAAGGCGAATCGAATCAGGATCCAGCTAGAGCTAGCATCGGATAGCCTGGATCCAGAAATATTGACGGAAGGTCTGACGAGTGTTCAAACCTCTGATCTGGACTTGTAGGTCCAGATCTACAATTATGACAGCAAGATCCGGGTCTCAAGACATCGGATCTAACGTGTTACGAACAGAAGGCGGCGGATCCGGAGACGGCAAATTTCGCATATCTGGATCATCGCTGGGTCCACGCTCATATATCCTTGAAGTTGTTAAAAAGAAAAGATCACGACAATGCCGATCGTACGTCACTTTGATTCGGATCCGGATCGACATGCCATAGTGGTCGTGTATGCCAGCTATTGTGCGATCTCCGGTGCATTGAGTATGGTCTGATCTACAATCCAGTGATATTTGCAAGCCGTACGTCGAAGTCCAACAAGCTAAACTACGGGATCGCAGAGAAGGAGGTTTTGGAATTGCTGCGGATCCTGAATCTCAACTATAATACTTTGGTACGGAGACCGATCGGAGTGCTGAGACGACATTTCACACTGGTTTGGCTATTTAGATTCACTGCGTTACAAGGTCGCCGTGGACAATATGCCGACCCTGGATCCTTGAGATCGTCAAGTGTAACATGAGCGAGGACGAGATCCTGGACCACTAGCCGCCAAAATCACCCCAGATCCGAAGTCGACATAGCACTGATCTCAATCGCCCCGAAGAAGGAGTCATGACGCAAGATCCAAGCTCCTATCCCAACAGTAAGGGCGGATGAATATTTGTATGTGACGGATCTGCTCGTGTCAAGCGAGGTGGAGGCGCCTATAGCGCGATCCTATGGAAATTACCTGAGTGGACTGTGGTGAAGGCCAGATCCGGCTAAGCCAAAGGCCTAACCGTAAATGAGGCCGAATATCATGGTCTTTTGTTATGGCTTGACTTACTAGAAGGGACGGATCCGACTCGTGATCTGTGGTGACTAAACGTGGTGATCCGCCAGGTTAGAGGAGAGACCGAGGGCAAGGCACATGGATTGGCATTGCTAAGGCAACCAGCGTTGGATAGAGCGCGGATCCGGCTGGATCATGAGTTGGTCCAGGTGAAGCGGGATTGGAATGGAAGTGGAGCTAGCCTGGCTAGTACCGCACTGCAGCTACAATGTGGAGTTGAGTTCGAAACTGACGGTGAGATCCAGGATCTGATCACGTTGAACCGGCTGGACGAGATACTGATAGCGAAATCCGAAGCTCTGACAGTGCAGTTCGCGGCTGTTACGACTAGATCGAAGACCAGATCCGGTGTGAGATCGGGATCCAACTCCCGTGTGCTGTGTGAAGAAGCGGTCAGCGAGCTCAGCATCGAGTGAATCCGACAGGCACAGGGCGAGGAGGCTTGGATCTATGGATTGAAGAATTACCTGGCCGGCAAAGCACGTGATCTGACACAAGAAGAGGTTAGATCGTACGGATCCATCGCTATGGATTGTTAAGCGGATCAATATGATCTCCTTTTCTATTGCCCTACAACGAAAGAATCGGCTGCGGATCGGGACAAACTGATGCGACCGGTGCTACCTGAAACATTGCATCAAGATGTTCTACACCATTACCATACCAACCTTCAAGGTGGACATCAGGGGATCGGCCGTCGTTACGATCGGATCCGGAATCATCTTGACTGGAGAGAACTGTACCGCAGTGTACAGAGATATGTCGGTAAGTGTGTTGACTGCGAGACCGGGAAAGGGCGATCTTGGGTCCAAGGCAAATTGCCGGGTAATCTTTAAGCGACTTATCCATGCCAGATCATCGCTATGTATCATTGCCCAGGTCACATAAGGGTAACACTGAGTTGTTGATCTTCGAGGATCTCTTCTATCGTTATGTGATCGTCAAAGCGAGCGGATCCAGGGCGGCTCTGGCAGTGGCAGAGTCCTACTAAGAATGTGTGTTCCGCCGATTTGGTGGTAGCGAGGCGATCCGCCATGACCGTGAACTAGGGTATATGTCCGCTTTCTTGCGCGCGTTTAACAAGATCCTGGATCAGCGTCAACGTGAAACCATGGCATATAGGCCCCAGGCGAACGGATCCGCGGAAAGGATGGTGCATACCATCACAAGAGCACTCAAAATGTATGTTCAAGATCTGGATCAGCAGGAGATTACACACAGTGCCTTACCTTCGCGATCAATACCGCTTGAGATCAGATCCGAGGAAAACACCATTCTACATGGTTCATGGCTGGGATCCGAGATCCACCCTGGAGACGGTGATCCCGATGGGAAGTACAATGAGAAACGATCGGGATCCGCGGAGATGGCGATATCGGATCCAGAGGCACTACCAGCAGGCACGAGAGCAAGTCAATCAGCGCATACAGGAAACGACCTCGGGTCGGGTGGATCAGCACAACAATATACCCAGTCCAGGTCGGATTTCGTTTCTGGCTATACCTGGATCGGGTACGTGAGGGATATGCCAAGAAGCTTGCGCATCTGTGGCATGGCCCTTTCCGTGTGACTGAGAAGATCGGCGAGTACGCAGTGAGCCTCGAGATCGACGGACCCGCATACAAATCTTCCCGTAGTTCACGTGTCGAAGTTCAAACATGTTAGGGACTTTCCGGATCGGCCGATAGTACGTCTTACGGTGTGGGATCAGCATCGGCTAGATTTCGAACGAAGCACTTCTCCCTGGAGATAGCTGGATCCAAGATCGTGATCCAGATGAATACCAAGTCGAGAGGATCTCGGATATGCCAATCATAATCGGTTTGGCGTGATGCAATCTCATGAAGGAGCCTAAGGGCAGGTTCCACATCTCACTAATGCGAGAAAGCTAGGATGAAGGATCTGCAAGAATGCTGCAGATCGGGGAAAGGTGTGTGTATTATGGTTATATTTCGATGCGTTGGAAATTACAGAAGTCAAGATCCGAGATGATGTGAAGGTGTATCGGGAGTCAATGGAGCCTTTACGGATGATTATGAGAGGATCGTTGGAGTAAAACGAAAGGAGACATATATTAGCGAGAACATCACAGATCTGCAAAAGCTTCAGGATGGGCTGGCGTCTCAGAAACGGCAGGTACGTCGGAATCAGGAGGCGAGTCGTGTCGAGCACTCTCCATGCCGAAGAACTTCTCCACTATCCGAGGGGTCCGATGTGCAGGATGATCTATTGAAGAGCCGCGGTAGTGGTTCCGCCACGGATCTGCCATGTTCCAATCCGCAAGAGCTTCGATCAAGTTAGCAGGATCTGGCCGACCAGCGTGACGGCTTTCTATTCTTGGGTACCAAGTCACTTCGTCCGACCTCTTTGGGAAATGGAGGAAGAAGGGATCGAGCAGGAGATCGAGTCACACCAACCTTCCTGCATGGCCAACACAAAGATGGATAAGACACATGCCTGCGATCGCTGGCATGTGATCGTCGATTATTGCGCGCCTTGCAGAGAGTAGCCAGACGCGGGAGGGGAGATCGCACATGCGCTTAGTGACAAGAAGCTTGTAGGTGGATTCCCAATATGCGATGACGTCCCGGATCTGCAACTGTGAATACACCTTCAGGAAGATGCCAAGTTGACTACCTACCAAGATCTCGAAACAGATTGGGGTTCGGCACATTATCCTCGCTGAGGATCTCCATGGTAACTCGTGGTTGAGAGCCTCGATGTTGTCTGCGGCGTTTAGGTGGGATCAGTAATCTGCATCGGATGGAGGCCGAGATTGTGCTGCGTGATGAGGGTAGATTCGCTCGGGTCGAACAGGTAGCGCAGTCGCAAGGATGTCCACCGTCACCGTCATGACTATCCACCGGCTTATGTCATCTAGCACCCAGGGATCAATATCTGCGGCACAAACACACGGATCTGGGTGCGACTTGGAATGCAGAGAACTTCGGCAAGGGGATATTGAGGGAATGTAGCTGGATTAGGAGACGGCCGATCGCCAGCAGGTCTATCGGCAAGAGGATCTGGGGTGTCATTGTCTCCGTTGTTGGATCCGTCATCGCCTGGATCACCAGCTCCACCACCACCAGTACGTCGTGGGGATGCTTGCTCACCTCGACGTCGCGCAGATCTGAATTGGCCAATAGCCCGAAGGGTGTTCTCTTCAAACATGTAATCCGCAACCTCCTCGTTTTCGTGGTGGTAGATGGAGCAAAGGTGTCCGGATCCGTCGTGTCCCCATGCTCTTCATCTTCGTCTTTAAGGTGACTTTTGGATTCTTGGTCACCACCACTGAGATCTAAAATCTGCGGTTGAGGATTATCATCTCAGAATTCGGTGTAGACCCGCTAGGTTTACGCTTCGGTGGTGTGTTATCGCTGCTCGAGTTACCGGATCCACCGAGTTCATGGGCATCACTTAGTAGGTCAAACGAAGAAGAAGAATCCTCCGGATCCAAACTTCTCTCGATACTCTGTTACCGGTTTCATCATCGCCTAAGTCATCATCTGGTGGATATCAGCCATCCATGGCGATATCCACATGTACCTCAGCCAGACCATCGTCATCCTCGTCCTCTATGGCTTGGGATTTGCGCTTGAAGAGTTGACTGGGGCTGGGAGAGGAAGATGGACTGCGCGAACGCTTGGTATTCTTCGTTGAAGGCGAGTCGGATCCATCCTGGCGACCCTTGGGCGATTCGGAGTGATCTGGCGAAGGGGCATCCGTGGGAAGAGAGTCGGAGTGGTGATCCTTGGAGGAGGCTCCTCCATCGTTGTCACTGGGAGGATCTTGGTCCGACTCGGATCCGAGACCGAGAGAAGTCGTCAACGGCGAAGATCCCATAGCGTTAACGATCCGTCGAGGATATGCAACGTCTTGCGAAGCTCACGCCACAAGTCTGCCCGATCCACGGTGAGAGTGTTGAGTGGAGAGGGCCTGGTCGGTGCTGTGCTCTCCGTGATTGTGCGCTCCCGCTGTCCGTAAGCCTTGCTAGCAACTGCTACGTCGTGATCTGAGCATGAACGGCGAAGATAAGATGACATGGTATAATATGTGTAAGATCGAGATACTTACCCCGAGCGGTGGCGTAAACTTGGAGGCGATCGCGTTCTCGGGTGATCTCATCGAGTTTCGGCTTCGCTGCTGGGAGCTGATCACGTTCCTTTGCCTGATCGTCGATAAGTTCTGCATTTTCTTGCTAAGACAGAGGACTCGTCTTGGCAGATCTGGATCTTCCTCAAGGATGCGTAACGTTCCGCCGTTGCCTGGGCAAGCAGCGCATTGAGGTCACTATCACCGGAAGAGGCGAGATCCGGTCTAGCCGTGTGATCTCAGTTTGGGAAAGTCGCAGGACTTCTTCGGTAGCGCAGAGACGCTATTCAACTTCGGCACGAGCGATGTCACCACGTTGACGCTCGTCTTGGAGATCCACGATTTCTTCGCTCGACCGCTGGAGATCTAATACCAGGCCATCGTGCTCGGACGACAGATCATCAACTGCAAGCAGCAGATTATTACGTTCACGCGTTAGCCGATCACACCCGTCAACCAGGTAACAACCTGGTCCTCGAGATCTGCTACTAGCGATTCCAAATTGTGGATTCTGTAGCTCTAGTCATCCGGCAGATCGCGGTCGCTGCGATCCAGTGTGTTCATCGCAAAGTCTCGATCCCGGCGACCTCGCTGAATCTCTTGCTGCATGAAGGCGATCACCCAGGCCTGCTCGTGAAAGTAATTCTGCAGAGCTCGGAGATTCTCAGCAGCAACGAGATCTTTGTTAGCATCCATCGGAGCACCAGCCGTTAACCGAGCTTGGGGTTCGCCAGCACGCCTGAAGACGGAGATTTGTTGCATATCCCCCAAAGTATCATCCTCGGAGTAAAGCAATTGTCACGGATCGTAGCGCTGGGATCCGGGCGGGGTGTTTTGGTCGGAATGAGACGTGGAGCAAAATGAGTGGTTGAAATCCGAGTTGAAGAAAGCGCCGAAGTGTCGGCCGTGATACTGTTGTACAGCAACAACGGCGGACAGGAAGCGATGGTGGTGAAATGGATCGGAAATCCTACGTGAATAAGATTGATTGATTGACGAAAAGTCAACAAGGGTTTTATCCGGAACAATGACCATATATCCGGATCTGGTTGATCCGGATCCTCCATGAGAACCGATGACTAGTGGCGAGCATGGATTCGTGGAAATAGGAATGCGAAGGATGAGAACATGAAGGGGCCACTGTGGATCCATCATGCGGACGCCCGGATCCGCCAGTAGGGAAGGTTGGCGAGTACTCAAAAAGTTAGGGTGACGCGGAGCCCGATCCGCAACGAAGTATCAAGATCCGGACGGATCCTGAATATGTTTGGAATAAGGAACCTCTGGGGACTACGGATCACGAGGATTTGATGGCGATCAAGGAAGGTCAATCAAGGATCCGGATCCGACGGATCCGACATCGTGATGTCGCCATCAGGTGAGCCGGATCCACAGAGAAGCAAGAAGACTGGGCCGGATCCTGAACACATTGGGATCGGAAGACCTCCAGAAACTACGGATCGCGACATATTGGCAACGGTCAAGAAGATCAAGTGAGGATTCGGATCCGACGTTGGAGCGTTGACATCAGACGATTACGCGCAGATCCTCAAGGATAGCAGCTGCTCTCATAGAAGCAGTAATCAAGTGTGCGGATCCCGTGTTGTAGAGGTAAGACAGGCTATGGTATAGGAGTTAGGAAAACAGCGAATCGAATTTGCATCGTGAGGTACAAGTGGTTGGTATCTTTATTTGATCCGCACTTAGTGTATTACGGACACCTCGGATCCGGATATTACATTGATGATCCGCGTGTTAAGAGTATAGGATCTAGCGTTAGTTTGGATAACTGGATAATATATTGGCCAGGTCCGACTACCTAGTGACTTATTCTATACGTGCAAGCTCCGGATCCACGACATTTATTGCTTAGTCGTCGATACTTCGATCTCTCAAAATAACCCAAGATCCAGTCATCAGAGACTGCGAGCAAGTAAAGGATCGTAAAATCACGAACAACCAAGACCCCAAGGACAGCACACCAAGGCAACCCAACACGGCCCGGATCCAGATCCGACCACCGGTGATCTACACTCGAATATTCGTGTGGAACACGGATCCCCATGACGGGCAGCAGGGCGAAGACTTCCGCTGCTAATCACACCCGTGCGTCTCTCCAAGACGCTCGATCTTCATCACTTGGACAATCTCCTGCAGTTACCAGGGGAGCAAGATCCAGCCCTACCGATGGGTACACAAGGTGAGGGAGTTCAGCTGATCACGTATCATAGGAGTACCCCCTCCTTTAGTCGGTGTCCTGGGCACAGTGGCAAACCGGATCCAGCATCTTATCAGATTTTGCTGATCCCTCTCCACCACAGAAACGGCGCGAGTTGTAGCCGCCGAGACTTCCCCTCTAGGAGCCGCTGGAACAGAGCCAGCAGCAGCCGATTTTACTGGCAAAGCATCCTGTGAAGGTGTAGCGACATCACAGGTCTGTAAAGGAAAGACTGGTAACTCCATGAGCAAACCCACCTGACTGTCACGTGATGTCAACACAATTATCTTGGAATCAGCTGCACGAGAAGTTCGAGAGCTAAAAGCCGTAGCAGGAGTACCACGTGGTGACCGTGTGGTGGTCGACGAATTCGGTGGCTAACGCAGAACAAGGCAAACGAAGAGTCAGTGACTTAACGGCAAGATACAACAAAGATACTCGTAGTGACGAACACTTACCAGAGGTGAAGAAGAGGGACCGGAATCAGACAGAGCTTGGTGATCGACCA